GTAAGAGAGAGGCTAACACTGCGTAAGCTGACTGGTCATGACAATGCTTTCCCTTTCTGCTGACTTTTGTGAAGGTCCCAAAAAGATGTGAACATTGCTTGACAGCTGATTACTTTCTTGATTTCAGGTCTTTTGCCGAACTTGGGGCACCATTCTGTAAACCGAGGCTCAACTTACAAGGGAACGGTGTCGAGTCGAAGTGGCCTTTCCAGATGAGACCCAAACTGACTTGAAGAGTATTAAGCGATGATTCCAAATCTGCCTTCCAAAACGCCAAGCGCCTCTGGACGCCGAATTATGACCGTTCTTCGGAACAAAATGAATGCAAATTTAGGTAAAATTGATTGTTATAATCTTTCCAGCGCTCAGATAAAGCTATGTTAAATATTAACATATTGAATAAAATGTATCCATTGCGTAAACAGCTTTGGTACTTGACACTGGACCATTTGAGCAAATTTGGACGATTTTGCTTCAGTTTTGCGTTCAATTTTTTGACCTCAAAAACGAGCATAACTCAGAGTCCAGAGGCGCTTGGCAGATTTGGAAAGCAGATTTACACAACGCTCTTCAAAGCAGTATGGGTCTCATCTGGAAAGGCCACTTCGACTCGACACGATTCCCTTGTTAGAATTGCAGTTGAAATTGAATCATCAGTATTCTTTATACTTTGAAATTACGAAACCTCGAAAAGGATTTTAGGAAATTCAAAACAATTTTTGCCTCACTCAGAAGGAAAATCACACAAACCAGAAACTTTTTACTGGTCTAATTGAAGCTGCTGATTTTAAATGAAATTTGCACTTCTCTTAATGCTTCTTTCATAAGTTGATTCAGATTTAGGGTAACAGCTGTTTTCCCATTGTTCGTCAGAAGTGTGATTACACCATCAAAGGGGCTCAAAAGACTGGTGAAAAGTTGTGTAGTGAAATCAGTACGCCTGAAAATTATGCTCCACAAATCTCCAATTTTTTGAAATTTTTCCATCAAACTGTTTCATTGTGCCGTTTTATGCTAAAAGTTCACACCGTAATCCTACAGTAATGAACAGTTTTGATGACTCATTCCATACTCCACTTCTAAGTTCGGTCTCGTTCCATCGTATGTTACCTCAAGCTCAGCGAAAGACACGAAAAGATAGTTATCAACAATCAAAACGAAAAGATAGTTATCAACAATCAAACAGTGTTCACATCTTTTAGGACAACGCTCTACTAATTCTGTTGATAACTCTTTAAGAGAACTCTGAGCGTCGCAAATTCGGATTCTTTATATAGACAATCAGTTTTCAATATTGTTTGACACAAAATACTATGACTGTTCAGGAGTAGCTGATTATGATTTATTCACACATTCAGATGAGATGCTCTTGAACGTGAGTAAAAAAACGGTTTTTTTCTAACTTCGATTGTGATGAATATGTGCTTGAATCATCCTGAGCTGCCAACGCTCGACAACTATTATTATTACAAGACAATCGATCAATTTCTGTGCAACTGGAGGTTTTAGTGTAAAGGCATTCTGCCCACTAGTCTGAGCTGGGCCTGCAAAATCGCTAAGATGTAAGCCCCACGGCAGCGCTTCATGCATTTGAAACAAACTGCAAGAAAACAATTGTAAGTTGTTTACTTATTAATTTTGGCTACTTACAATTAGCTTGTCATTATGAATGAAAACGATTTTCGATTGTGAGTCACAATTTCACTTTACTCGAGCGCTTAAATAAACTCTACAAAGTGATTAGCATTCATGACTGTTCATGCAATGGATCTCTGCTTTAGAAAGCGTGTTAACCCCTGGAAGACTATACGAAAATTTATCTTTGATAATGTCCTCAAGCTGGAAAACTAGTGAATATTCATACAATTACTTTGAATTTGATGATTCCATCTGACGGCTTGTGTTTCTGACGTTTTCTGTTTGGCTTCAAAGCATTATAAACAGGGCCCGGCACGCGTTGGCTTGGAAGTTTTTAGGAAACGAAGTCCCCATGACTTCACCAAAATTTTGCGAAATCCCTCTCGACGTGAAAATCAGTAGGGAAACCCTTATTCAATCAAAATAGCAACAAAAAGCGAAAAAAGCGCATTTTGAGGTATGTAATATAACAAAAAAGCAAAAAGAAAACATTTCGAGTCGATTAAAGGCTCTGCCCTTGGGTATAGTACCATTTTGATGCTGGGATTGTCGAAAATCTCCTAGGCCTACCAAATCTGTAGCCTCAACAGTCCTGCGATGCATTTTTCGCCACATGTTTTCTGTTTGGAATTATATTATAATTATACACATATTTCAAAGGACACCGCAAGTGATTGGAGCGCGATATCTATCAACGCGTAGAATTATACTACTTTTGACTCAAAAAAGGGGAGAGATCCGTGATCCGCTCTCTTCACTATATGATAGATTTTTGACCGTTCTAATCGTCCGAATCAAAAAGATCCAAAACTTATGTGAACTCTCCGATACTTATGCTCCGAACCAACCCAGTTGGTTTGGTAGTTGGTCTGTAAACCAACAAATTCGAGAACGGATATTAGGACACATAAGTTTGGGAACTTTTTACATAACATAGTTTGGAGTAATATTGTATACACATAGCACAAATTCGAAGCCATGTGATTGTTTATGCGCTGTAAACAAGCCATTTGTTTGTTTGAGTCTTGCGTTTGAAATTCGCGCGCTTGCGAAAGAACACGTTCAACTCGTGAAACCTGACATGTTCGTCGTGTTTTTTGTGGCGCTTCCTCCTGGACCTCATAAAAACCATGCCCCATTGCTTCTAACTCCAAAAACGAAGTCCAATTTGACCCCAAACCATAGGTGCCGGGCCCTGATTATAAACTGCTATGGACTTCCGAATCAGCTAAACAATATATTCTACATCGCTCTCGCACATTTCCATTGCGCATTGATAACGAACTAAGTAATTATTACGTGCAAACTTTTCAAATTTGTTTTATTTTTACCTAATTTTCTGTAATTTTCTCCATCGTATTTGAATAAATGACTGACAAAAAATACCTCGGTTCTAATGTTTCCGCTACTGGCCTGCTTCAAACCTAGACAAGAATCCGCTTCACATCTATGCAAAGGATGCACGCCTCAATATTGTAACTCTTTCCAATTCAAGTAAAAATTTCGCTAGCTTTTGGAGTGATGCTTTCTCGATAAACAAAAACAAGATTAAAGTTTCGATTTTGAGCTGCTTAGTTTGGAATTAGAATTTCTCCGAAGTCTTAAACATATATGTTTTCAAACTTTTTGAGCTGGTTATCTTCTTGCTAATTCCTCCAAATAATCTAAATTATTAGGTCGTCCCGAAAGTTCTTGCGCATGATTTTCAAAAATTCATAACTTGTTGGATTCTCAAAGAATTTACAAGTTCCAAATTTTGTGTAAGAGAGGAACTCATGCTCTTTGCAATTCTACTTGAACTGTTCGTTAATGTATACAAATGAAGGAGATAGAAGCTCAAAGCCAAAATCACTCAAAATCTGAATTTTTCGTGTAGGCTCATAAAAAATCGGAAACTTACAACAAAAATCGGAGCAGTCGGTATTGTAGGTTATTTCATTAGCTCTTTCTAACGGTGCAAAGTTTGCGCTGATTGAGCGTTTCTAGAAAAGATCTATGATTTTCGAGTAAGCAATACAAAAGGGCGAATTTGATTTATTTTGGCATTTTTTGGGAAAATCATAACTTTTCACAAGGATCAATCGGCGCAAACTTTGCACTGTTGGGAAGAGCTTGTGAAAGAACCTACAATACTGACTGCTCCGATTTTTGTTGCAAGTTTCCGATTTTTTTATGACCTTACACGAAAAATTCAGATTTTGAGTGATTTTGGTTTTGAGCTTCTATCTCTTTCATTTGTATACAATAACGAAAGTTCAAGAGCTGTTGCAAAGAGCATGAGTTCCTCTCTTATACAAAATTTGGAGCTTGTAAATTCGTTGAGACTTCCACAAGTTATGAATATTTGAAAATTGTGCGCAAGAACTTTCGGGATGACCTAATATATTGAGATCTGCTCGTCAATCTTGACTGCGATGCACGGGACACGGCACAGGCGGTTGACCAAACAAGCTGGATATCGTTTCTGGAAGAAAAAGCAAAAGGGATATCATTTTTGCGGAAGAGCACACAGCTTTCCTTCAATCTTCCGCCGGCACGCTGCATGTGGCAACATGCTCTCCCAAACAAACAAGGCTTGTTTACAGCGAGGTGAAAATGAAGACAACAAAATAGGTGTGTAGATGGGCAATGGAAAGTTAGGACTAAGTTGAAACATTATGAAAAAATTGTGTGAGCTTAAGGCGTGCTCAACTTTTTCCGGAGTCGGGTGGCTTTCAAGCCACCTGGCAGCGAACTGAGGTATCTTGGGAAAGAAAAAGTCATTTTCCCCTCTTTCACATAATTTTTTTTACTTTCTTCATACAGATTTTATCTACATCTCAAACATTACAAAATGGTTTCTAAACCGCCTGAAACACCTTCCTCCCCGCTTAGTTACAGCCCGAAATTTTTGAATAACGGCGATGCTGCTACAAGCGCGTAGTACCGCTGGATACACATGCCGCCAACTCAGAGAATACGAATATCATTGCGTTCGTTTAATGCTTTTTCGGTGTTTTTTTTGTCTTGTTTTGTTCCATTCCTTTTTATGTATTTTCTCTTCTAATGTCTCATTGCGGATGTCGTACTTTCATTGTGAAGTCAAAGGGAACTTCGTTTGCAATTTCGGGAGCCACCTCTTGTCCTGTCGATGCGTTTCAGGTTATCAACATTTGGTTCTTATCTCAGATGTTTGAGCGTTGGACGATTGTTACGTTGCAGTTGAAGTTAATTCTGCCTATAGTGTCGAAAATGTATACTCAAGCGAAATTCAGTGGGTTTTTGTTGTTTTGAAGATTTCTGGCGTTTCAGAGTCTGTATTTGATCTCTACTTCATCACAACTTAAAAACTGTTTTTGTCACTTAAATGCAAAAGAGCTCACCGCAACAGAACGGGTATGTGTGTAGACAGTATATGAGTTTACCAGAAAGATGAAGAAGCAAATGGCAAATAAACCTGAATAACAACAGTTTGACATGTTGGAACGGCCAAATGTCATCACGTTTGATTAAGGAAATGCCCCATGGCACCCATCTCAAATTTTTCTCAAATTCTCAAATTTGAGGAGAAATCAAGCGGTCTACTGTTAAATTATCTACTTTTGAACTAGTATCCATTTTCCACTGCGTTAAATCGCTCGTATCATTGTAGATACAAGCTATCAGGTCAATGCAAAAATAATGGCCGAATTGCGATTTCTCACTTTCACGTGCTATAACTTTTTGGAAATTTCATATTTCTGAATATGGTAAAAACCATCAAAAGCAACAAACCTTTCGCATTGCAGCGCACATTAACTTGTACTCATATCGCAAACGGACACAAATTAAGGACTAACAAACAAAAAGGTTTTTTCTGAATCCTTGTTTTTAACAACTCATAACTTCCTCCTAAAGCGCCGATATCTTAGTCGGGATAACTCCAAAAAATACAGTCGAGTATGCAAAATGTAGACAATTTCCACAAGATACAGTAGTAAATTTTCGAAGAAGCGCCATGCATACGAGCTCGAATTCTGGCCAAGAAAGTGAATGCATTAAAATTCTGATTGTGGATGCGGTTATTTAAAAATGAGTAACTTCATAACGCAGGTAGGAAGCCCGCTTCGACCAACATTAGAAAGAAGACGAAAATATCAGAGAAGAACTTTTGATGGGAAAAAGTTGCCCTGAGAAATTGGAAAATCGTCATTATTTGTGCACCAACCTATTAATTTTTGAAGCCTGCTGTAATTTGCAATGTGCGAGGCGCAAATACCGCCGAAAACGCAGCTTTATCAAACCATTTGTGGCATTTTTTCCACACTGCATCATGTGTAAACTTCAGCTGCAAATTCTTTATTTTTCCTATTTCCTTTTCGATCATTACTGCTCACACGTTATCAGGAAATTGCCAAGCATAACGCAAAAAAGGGCTTGTTGGCTTACAACCAGAAGCGCGATACTGGCAGCCGTCTTTCTCCACTTTCACTTTTGAGCTGGTACAAGGTGAACACTTTCACATTCGCTCCTCGAGATTGTATTTTACTGACGAAGAAAAAGAAAGAAAATAAGTGGAACAACAAATGAGATTAATGAAAGTATATTGCTATGTAATTTACCTTTAAGAACCAAAAATCGCCATAGACGCACTTAAACCTCCGAATTACCTCAATTTCGGAAAAGAAAGTTTTTTCCTTAACGACCTTCGATATGAAAGCTATAACCCAACGGTCCTTATTAGGGCCAACAACTTGATCAAGGGCCTCTAGGGCCACGAATACGGTGAACAATGAGCAGCATAAATATTTTTAATAAATATTTTCATCGAATGTTGTGTTAGAGAGTGAAACTTAGCGAGACGTATTCTACCAAGTAAATTTTGTCATAACAAAATGTGCAGAAAGTAGGACGATTTAGGAAGTAACTGTCGAAAGTTAGAGTTTTAAATAACAAAATTGAAATAAATCGGGCAATGCAACTTTTATGATTTAGGTAGTTCTAGCAACTGCGATTTCATAGGTTTTGAAAGCGAGGTGATGTTCTACCAGATAGTAAAAAAAAAGTAGGACGATCTGAGGATTGTTCGCTGAGAACCAGAATTTTAGAAAACACGCCATCTTAGATTGCTTAGTAACAACTGATATTTTAAAGCCCACAAATTTTGAGTGGGAGGATGTAGTATTACAACTACTGATTTTGTAGAGTAAGGTTTGCCCTATACACCTTAGCCGTAACGATCCATTGATGAAAGCGCCGAGAGCTACGTCCTTTAAAATGCCGGTAAAAAATCAGTTTTTGAGCCTTAGCAAGTATAAGTTCCCCAGTCCTATAAAAAACGGCTGCAACTTCGTATTTTAGAATCTCCTCTTCAAAAGACTTTCAGTTCGTATACAATGAGGTGGGTTCGATAGCTCAAACTCTGGGGAGGGCGGGACTTTTTATTACTTTTTCCTCTAGCAGCTTCCAGCCAATACCTTGAAAGAGGTAGGGGGGGGAGAAAGGTTATCACTCCCCCCCCCCCCCAATTTAAACGTAAAAATCACCAAACCCCCACATGTTATATACGATCTAAAAGCTCTTGAAGAGTAACTTTTGTTTTCCCTTATTTTACCTTCTATAGCAGTGGGCGAAAAAGTTTGTGAAGTTTTTAAGAAAAGAAAAAAGTTTTTGCGAAAAAAGACGTTACCTGTTCTCCTCTCCCCCTCCCCACTCCCCCCTCGTCTTCCCCCAGTCTCCCTAGTCGACTTTTAAAGGCAGCGTCCGGGCAGATACGAATGTAGAGTACAGGGGCGCCCGTCCTGGTAAGGCTTTTGCCCAACTGGCAATTCACCAATTTGCTTCTGACGCTTCAGAAGTGGCAACCGGAACGCTTCGGCGACCGGAACGAGTTATCCGATAAGCCAGAGTGCGCATTCCGCACACATTCAAGACGTAGGGTCTCAGAAAGACTCTGCGTCTTAACCTTGGCCGCAGACGACAAAATTCAAATCAAGAGCTTCCGGAAAAGCCAGTTTTCGGCGTTTTCGTGCCCTCCAAGCCGCATTTTCAGAATCACCGGGAGGAATAAGCCCAGGTAAGCAAAAAAAATCCCTTTCGAAATTTTGCCCGGACGTTGCCTTTAACGTCTCCTCCTCCTCCATCGACATTTTTTGGGAGTGAGCCTGGACACTACCACATTTACTTTTGGCGTACCTCTGTTTACATTTTTTCCTCAAAAATCTTTCAAAAATCTTATCTCACAAAGCTTGATGTCTTCTTATATTTTGAGTAAAAGCTAACATTCATAGCAACGGTTTACAACTAGTCTTGAGGGGTTACAGGGTCTGGCAGGAGTCCGGTGTTCGCGGAACTCTGCAAAAAAAATAAAAGGGTGTGGCCGGTTTTGACCAAAAAGAAACGTGACCTCGAGTTGACTGGAAACTTCGCTCTTGCAAGATTCCCCCCCCCCCAGCCGTCCCCCCCCGCCCACGCCCATCCCAAGGTGGTATTGGACTCGCTCTAATTACGGGTGTTGTAGTTGTTGCAGAGTAGCGTGTCACAAAAAGCTACTGCAAAAATTAGTGCCATACCAAGCAATTTCGCAAATTCTTCTCTTCAAGCTTTATGTATTGCCGTATACAAATTCATCTACAATGCCGGGAATCCTTATAAACAAGACAGAACAACATTGTTATACTTACATTAGTTCTATCCCCAATATTCGCCAAATTACACGGTTGCAAAAGCATATCCTCATACAAGTTTTGACATCCGACACAAAGATTGAAGTCGTATCAAGAAAGTTGGAGCGCTGTTTGCTAAAATATGTATAAGGCGGTATAAGTTCGTGAAGTTTTCATTGTCGTTTTCTCTTCCTTGATCAGTGATTGGTTTGCGGCAAAAGCTTATACCATTAAGAGTGGTCATGCTATTGAACTTATCATTTTAGCGAAAAGTTGGTCTAATTTGATTTAGGCTTTCAAAAATGAGGTTTTTGAAAGACAAAAGATAACACTTCCAGCATTTACTTTTTTGCATGAAGAAGTATCTCGCATATCTTTGCCGTTTATGATAAAAGAAGTTTGCATTTCAATATGATAGAAAGTAAGGATTAACTCGATTCAAAATGGAGAGCAGTAGAGGTCTTTTCCAAACAAGGTGTTCGTGGAAGAGGGTGTTGACGTTGTGCACTAAAATTGCTGGGCAAGAACAGAATGGGTGACATTGTAACATCCAAATGCACCGTCCGAACGTTTACTGCGGAAAGAGCTGTTTGAGTCATGAGCTTTTTTCTATGACAGGACATGACATACACGGCAGACGTCGTCAAAACTGTCCTGCGGCACATGACTAGGAGATATATCAGTATACCGTGTATTAGAACCCCCTGCCTTTCTCAAATCTGCAATTGTTCTCTTATAAACCTATTAGTTATGCTTAAATCGATTGTGCAAACAATCTTACAGGGCTTACAAACGAAGTGTCGTTTGCATCAGCATCTCCACTCCCGCGCTGGACCCTGCGTCTCTTCCGCGAGCATGCTCTCTAATCATTTCCAATCGATTAAGGCCCCGCCTTTTCCACGCTCGCCCTGAAAAAGTGATCAGAGAGCATGTTCGCGGAATAGATGCAGAGTGGAGATGCTGATGTGCGTTTGGTAAGCCCTATAGAGCTGTTTGAACGACTTTATATCAAACCCGCTGATTTATTTTTGAAAAAAAAACAGAACTGATACTAACGACAATGTGGAAGAAGATTGTGCGCAACACGAAACATACATCACTGGCTGAATTTTGATAGAATCTGTCAATTCGTTCTTTATGAAAGCTCACGAATCTATAAAACTACCCAAGATAGCATTGTACTTATATCTTTCAAATTTGAACTGATTCCGATGCTTTTGTTTGTTGGATCAAACGTATTGTGTGCATATTTTAAAGGATAATAAAAGATTCGGCGTTTCTAATATCTTCTGCGGGCATGCGCCAAACGCTCCACACTTCATATTCGAAGAGGCTACTGCGTGCATGCGGGCCTACTACAGTGACTTGCGGGGACCACCCGATTAGCAAGTGGGTGCTTTTATTTTCTCAGATTACTCTGGTTTACCAGCCCCAGAGAGTAAAGGGCTTGGTTCGCCTTGGGGCAGTATCAAACCTTTGGACGTATTCATCAACGAACCCAGTGAGTTCCGGAATCCACTGGGTAGGCTTAATCCACAAGATTGGTATTCACGAAGCTAGTGGATCCGCAGCCCAGTGGTTAACCCTACCCAGTGGGGTTCCGGAACCTACGAAAATTCACTTAACCGGTGTTCACGAACGTATCCAGTGCGTTCGCGAACCCAAAAGGCGAGCATAACGGCATTCACGAAACAAGTTATTCAGTTCTCGTGGGTTCCGGAATCCACTAAGTGCTGAGTTGGCGAACCCAATTATGGTGCAAATTCCTCAGTGGGTTACATGTGAACCCAGTCCCTTTGCTGGTTATTATGTT